GCAAAGGAAAGAAGTAGGAAAATAGAGTGATTGCCTAACATATATTTATGCAGTTTCTGGTGCTGGCTAGCATGCAAGTAGCAGCTAACTTTGATCCTGCCTGAGTCAGATAACGAGGCCAGATTGTAATAATGATCAACTTCTATTAAGGTTTATTATGTGTCAGGTACAGGCTAAGCATTTTCCCATGCATTATTTTATTTAACCTTTCCTGACAAACCTACACAATAGGTAATATTATAATTTCCTTTTATAGGAACGAAACCTGAGCCTTATGTAGACTAAGAAATTTATCCAAAGTTACAGCACCAGAATACATGCCATTGCATTCTGACTCCAGAACCCACGTACCTAAGCACAGTCTCTTGAAGCTCACACTATTCATTTAATATATTTCCAAATTTGCCACTGGCTTCCCTTTAGGTGTTCCTGTCTTCTAGGGCCTCTCATACAACCGTAATACTGCTTTCAAATCCTGGTCCCTATTCCTACGATCCTATTCTGCTCTGTTTAGTCTCTCTTGGATTTATTTGCTCTTCTACCTAGCGCATGTACTCACATCAACAAGGCTAGAGTTTCTTCTGGATTCCTTGACTCCTTTGAGCCTTGAAAATTTTCACCTTACCAATTCCCAACACCATGTACATCTATGGTGGACTGAATTGTGTCTGCCACCCCCCAAATTAATATGCCGAAGTCCTAACCCCCCAGTGTGACTGTATTTGGAGATAGGATCTTTAGGAGGTAAAGTTAAATGAGGTCCTAAGGGTGGGGACATGATCTGATAAGACTGTGGCCTTACACGAAGAGGAAGAGATCCTTTCTCTCTTGCACATGCACAGAAGAAAGGTCATATGAGTACAGGGTGAGAAGGTGGTCATCTGTAAACCAGGAAGAAGGTCCTCACCAAAAAAGGAGTCCTGCCGGATCTTGATCTGGGACTTCCAGCCTCCAGAACTGTGGGAAAAAAACTTCTGTTGTTTAAGCCACCCAACCTATGGCATTTTGTTATGGCACCCTGAGTAGACAAACACATCTTCTCATGCTCTTCCTTAGCTCCAAATGCTCTGAAGAAGTATAAAATGACTTGTTTCTTTAGAGCCACCATTACATAATTGAAAGAGCTCTAAATTTGGAACCACGAGATTAGATTTCAAGTCATGAGATATAGAAGAAATGTTGCAAAAATATAAAGTATTGCTATTTTTTTAAACATCTTTATTGGAATATAATTGCTCTACAATGGTGTGTTAGTTTCTGCTTTATAACAAAGTGCATCAGCTATACATATACATATATCCCCATATCTCCTCCCTCTTGTGTCTCCCTCCCACCCTCCTTAACCCACCCCTCTAGGTGGTCACAGAGCACCGAGCTGATCTCCCTGTGCTATGCGGCTGCTTCCCACTAGCTATCGGTTTTACATTTGGTAGTGTATATATGTCCATGCCACTCTCTCACTTCGTCCCAGCTTACCCTTCCCCCTCCCCATGTCCTCAAGTCCATTCTCTACATCTGCGTTAAAGTATTGCTATTAATGCCAGATAAAGACAGCCAACTTCTAACAAACACTTTCATTAGCTGCCTACCTAACAGGTTGTCAACAGACTCCTGCCACGTGCTCACAGCCTCACTATTAGGTACATAACTTTGCCTTTGATTTACCTAGAATATTGAGGTTCTCTGACTATAGCTGTCGCATATTCTGTCACCTCCACTGCAATATGTCAGTTTCTGATTCCATTTTCTCCTTCATTGCTCTATCGGAAGAACAGCTTACCCCTTCTCTGTTCAGAGTAACACCTCTCTCTGGAAACTTGATTACTCCAATAATCTTTCACCCTCTCTGAGAGTATATCAGTTGTTGCCTTTTTCCTCCTGTGTCCTCTTCGCTCAATGACAAATTAACCCTTGACCCTGAGAACTTCTCAAGACATTCTCTCGACTCTCTCTTCCCTTTCACTGACAAATTTCGGAAACCTTCTGAGCCATATCTTCCACTAGTGTACTTTATACAATCTGTGATCCATCCAAATTATGGTTTTCACCTACTGCCTCCCACTTCAGTACTTTGCTTGGAATGGCATGCAGCTCTGATCTCTGCCTATCAAATTTTCAAGGTTTACCTAATATGTCACCTCTTCTGTGAAACCTTACCATAAGTTATTTCTTCTGAACCCCCACAGAGCTTAGTTTGCACTTGAACTTTGACAGCTTGATTGTGCAACCCTTAGTAGATTATAATAGTAGATTATAAACTCATTAACCCTCTCAATTTAAGACACAGTAATCATTTAAAAATGCCTAATAAATACATTAATCATCAAACTAATCTCAAACAGTATCAGGATTTCAATTCAACTGGAACAAATACAGCTTGGGATATTTTTGGAGAAAAATCAAACTTCAACTTGAAAATGGGGGAAGAGAACCTGGGCCTATATGGATCTATACAAGAGTTAAAAAGGCTTAAAATTCCCATTACCATTTTCTGCTTTCATTGAAACAAAGTGACAATAGCCAATAGTAGATTGGCAGGCACATGAGTGTTCAGTAAATGTTGGTTGAATTATCAAACGAGTAAATGCTTAAAGTGGTTCTCGGATTGCACGTTAAATAGTGACACTTAGAAAGTCTATGGAGGGAAAGCTAATATAGAATTTTGAAGGTGTGTCTAAGGCAATAATAACTATGATTTGGGAAGCATGGAAGACTGTCCTTTGAGGTAAATAATAGTTTATCATTTGAAACTTTCTATGGCCTCTATACTGAAGGAGTTGATTGAGGTAAAGAGCTTTACAGGGGTAGGCACATTTCTGGTGGAAAACTCAAGGAGAACTCAAAGAATCAATAAATTGGTGTGATTTCAACTGTAAGAGGAATAAAAACAATTATGATGTTAGGTTACAGAAGTCATATGATTGTTCTGGGGCTCTCCTATATGTATCTTCTGTAGATGTTAAGAAAGAGTTTTGTATTATTTTTCTTCTAGGATAATAACAGATGATTAATAAGATAATTTAGGCATCACTGTTTGAGGGCTATTGGCCAGCCACTGTGCTTATAACCAGGCACTTGTATACACATTAGCTCATTTAGTTATAGAATAGCACTAAGAGGAGGCCATTTCATTCCAGTTTCATGGATGAAGTTAGAGTCACTGCACACTTTACTCAAGGTTTCACAGCTGGTAAAGGACAGACCCAGGATTCAGAGCCAAGATTTGAACTAAGCTTTTCTGATTCCAAAGCCTGTGGCCAAAGTTAAACACACTGGAAAGGAACGGTACCGTCTCAGTACTCCCTCATGGAGATAATAAATTATTTCTGCTCATGGACATTAACCAAAGTATCTGAGCAAGTGCCACTTAGATCCTGATGAATCTACCACATTAGCCATCGTCTCAGAATTTCTCTGGAAGTTGAACATTTTCTGAAATCTGTACCTTCCTTACTTACCCTAACTTTTGGTCGCTTGCTTAAAATATGCTGTCAGACAGATTCATGCTACCAGTTGTCAATAACACATGTTTACTAGTTGCAGTCATGCCCTCAATCAAAGTATATGATTAGAAAATACTAGTTTTATCAATTATCAATTGATAAATTGATTTACTATCAATTAGCTACTAAATCCAAGTCATGACTTGGCAACATTTCTTGACAATTACTAATTAACTCTCTTTTTATTATAGAATTTATTGTAGAATTTGTAATTCTAGAAGGCAGCTATTGTAAATGACTAGTATAGAACTCAAGTGATGGAGACTAACCTTGTTGAGCCCCTACTCTGTAACAATCACAATTAAAACACATTATTTCAATTTTTTTTACCCAAACTATATTGTGAGGCAAGGTCATTGAGGTGTCACAGTTTTCAGATGAGGAAGTCAAATCTCAGAGACATAGTGAAATTGTCCATACACAGTGAATAGTCCAGCTGGGGTTCCAACTCAGCTGTGTCTGGCCTCAGTGCCTGTACCCTTTTCACGACATCCCACTGACCTCCAGGTCAGCAAGGCCTGACTTTTTTTTTTTTTTTTTTTTGTGGTATGTGGGCCTCTCACTGTTGTGGCCTCTCCCGTGGTGGAGCACAGGCTCCGGACGTGCAGGCTCAGTGGCCATGGCTCACGGGCCCAGCCGCTCTGCGGCATGTGGGATCTTCCTGGACTGGGGCACGAACCCATGTCCCCTGCATCGGCAGGCGGACTCTCAACCACTGTGCCACCAGGGAAGCCCCCCTGACTTTTAACATGATTAGAAATGTACTAGCCAAGTTGTCCTTAAGCTCGTCATGTCTTTGTTTCCTCATCTTTAAGATGAGGAAAATGCTATCTACCACTCAGGGATTAAACTGACTACATAAACCAAAACACTTAACATAGTATCTGGCATATCATGGGCATTGATAAATGATTGCTTCACGTAAATTATCTGAGGCAGGAATCAAAAAAGGAACTTTCCATAGTTTGACATCATTGAGCCTTATTTTTTTTCCATCTCCATGATAGTTAATAGCATAACCATTGCATCAGTGAAATCTGAAGGAACAGGGTTAATTATATTTGCTTTTAATTCTAACTCTTTAAAAATTGGTAACCAATATATGGCTAGAGTACGGGTGTTCAGTTAACCCACATTTCTAGATCATGGTGGAAAAGGTAGAGTATCATGATGGATTATCCAGTTGGCAAAGTAAGCATGTGCTTAAGGAACCAGCATATCAAGGACACCTGAGGCATGAGAAAGGTTCTAGCTATAATGAATGCTAGCAGAATTTTGTAATCTGAAAATCTAGAAAGAAGCTTTTAAAATTTAAGCACTCATTTAAATTTTGACTTTGGATTTAGTACTTTTCTAAAAAATGTCAATATGGCGGGAGGCTTGGAAAGAATGCATTTAAAGCTTTCCAGTGTTTCAAACATGAACATGGTTCTGTAAGTTTGTTAACTTACAGCAAATACTTAAAAGTTGCCAAACATTTAAAAAAATAGTATCTAACAATATTTTTTCCAGAATACAATGCTTCTGTCATCTTACCTGTTCAGAAAAGTGTTTTCCCCTGGTTACTTGATCATAGCAGTCTAAATAATAATGCCTCAGTTGACAGACAATAATTGTTTAGCCCCCAAATATGTCACTTTTGATAAGCTTATATAAGTATTAGTAACTGGTTATAATATTTTATTTCACATGAACATGGTCCTAGATTACTTGGCTTTTAATTTGACATGACATATTTAGCCCCAGTACAAGGTCTTTTACCAAATGTTTGGAAAATAAAAATACATCATCATACAAGCTTTTGGGAAGAACATTTTATTGCTAAGCATATCCTTGAACTAAAATGCAAATGTGAAATAAAAGAGAAAAGGAAAAAGAAAAAGCAGTAACTTCACAACATCATAAAATAAATTCCTTAAGAGTCTGCTCATAAAACAACAGCAATATGATAGAAGCTCACGTACAGAATGCACATGTTCCCATAAAATTGTCCAAATAGAAACTTACACTAAAAGGAATATAATAAATGTATTTTTACTCAAATAAAAAATGTAAAGAAAGAAAGCAGGAAATCAGTTCACAAGACCTCAAGACGCCAAGAACAGCAATCTTTTACAGACATCGAGATATAATCAACTTCATATAGGTTGGGCCATTTAGGTTATCTAAATCGTGCTTTGATATCTCTTTATAATCCTGTCTTTTTCAATGACAACAAAATAATCCAAAACTCTTAACACATTGAAATATCAGGTAATGAAGAACACCTCCTTCCATACATATTAGTAAAGGCTACCATTGTTTAGATTGCGTTTGCCCCACGTCTTTAAGATACTTTTTCAAAGTCAAATATTCATGCAACGTACAAAAACCAGCAAGAGTAGATTTCTAAATCTAAACAGCTGATTGATTTTCATCTGTACAAAAGAAACTGTATGTATCTGACCCTCCAGAGAACACATTTCATTTTTGTGTGAATATTTGTCTTGCTTTGTCTCTTGCTATTGGGATAGGTATGGCCACACAACAAGTTTATTGTTTTTCTGTACATCATTTCCTCTTTTCATAAAGAAAGACAACTGGAACATAAACCAAACAAACTGAAATAAACAAATAGAAAGGAAAGAACAGTTCTCAAAGCAGTATGTACACAGGTGGCTAAGGAATTATACCAGCAAAAATGTAGTAAAATATGTAAACAAAATCTGAGAAGATTTTTTTATTCTCTTTGACACAGTTAACTGTGACAAAATTAAACTCACACTTCACATTTTAAGGTTTACTTTTTTGTTGTTTTGTTATTTTCTTTTAAAACAACATTCTCATTCCACTTCAAGATTTTAACAGTTTTCCTGTTTCAGTCATCCCATCAAACATACCATGATAAATATATCTGTATATATATTTATTTATATATATTATACTATTAAATTCCATTTTTTTGTGTGTCACAGCAGCTTTATTCATTTATTATTTTTAGAAAAGATGGGTGAAGGGAGACGTGAGCAAATGGAAGGATAGAGTTATCCATAAATGTCAGGCTGCAAAATTAAATCACTAGGAAAAACATTATCATGTTGGGGGCGGGGAAAGAACTATGAATTCTGCACTCTGTCATGCCATGTTTGGCTTGTGTGACCTTTTGTGGTTCCATCACAAGTTGAACTCACCTATTGTCTGTTTTGATTCTTTAACAGACTTCTTGTATTGTCTTTTCTTTTCTATTTGCATGCATTTCGATCAGTCACAGATCCAGCCCACCCCCGTTCCCCTTCCCTAGGAAAGGCTCTGTTTTAGTTTATGGGGCTTTCTCCTTTACCACAATTTGGCTGGGCTCATGGACAGGAACAATATTGTTAAGTAAAGCCAATAGCTCTGATAAAACCAGCCCTAACCCCATCTGTTCAGGGTTTGGGTGGCAAATTCTGGAATTCGATCCTGAGGAACCAGCTTTTCAAATCAATATTATCATCCATCCCATGATTTTGCTATGTGTTCAGCAAAGCATCGCATAGGAAATAGACAACAGATTCTAGAAACGCCACAACCTGATATGTAGAGTGGACACCATGGTAGCTTTTGAGTTCATATGGCAATAGTCTCTCTTCTGTTTTCTGAGATTTTTTTTTTTCTTCTTCTTATGTCCAGTTAGTCTCAAAAATTAAACAAATACCCAAAAGCCATTTTTTCCCCTCAGATCTTGAAAAGTTACGCACACACTGGCCAGACCCAGATAAGGGTGGGTTTTTTTTTGTTTCTGTTTTTGTTTTTAACTTTTTCTTTTCTTTTTTTTTTTCGTTTTTTACATAATTAAACCAAAAAAAAACCAAACATTATTACAGTCAAGCTTCACAAACATTATTACAGACTCACTTGGAGTTATGGAACAAGTAAGCCATGAAGTCTTCTACCTTGGATGAAAGGTCCTAAAGAGAAAGAAGCTTCCAAGTCCACGAAAGTGGGGGGAGCCATCTGCTCGCTCCAGAGGGCAAAGTGTGTGCTTTATGACACAGCAGGGCAGAAAGAACTGTCTCCGAGCAGTGACTGAATCAAAGCAGCCATGGCTGAATCTTATAGGTAGGTACATCTTTGTGTGTGTTCTTTTAAAAATGATTTCCCCCACCATAGTCATGGTATACCCCATCTCATAGTTAGAACAGTTCTGACATCTGTGAAATCTCATTTTCCAAGTATTTATATATTTATATAGAAATAATCCTGTGTTTTAAATTCGCGTATCGTTAGCGGTGTCATGTTTACACATAATACTCTTTGTCCTTGTTTTTCTGTTTCTTGTGGCCACTCTTCGAGCTCTGCTGCTTCTCCTTGAGGAGCGTGCCATTGCTCTGCGCCGAGTTGCTGATGTAGTTCCGCGTCTCGTCCACTTGATAGGACCCCTCGTCCCTGTTCCTGTACTTGTACATGGCGTACAGGAGGATCAAGATGCAGAGGGCGGCAGCAGCCACAATGCCGACGACCATCCCTGTTGTACTGCTCGACTCCCGGATCACCTCTGAGGCCCCCGGAACCCGTCTGACTCCCGGCTCCGTGGGGTTTGCTGTGGGCACATTACGGAACATGGGGGAAGTAATTAGTGGGCTCTTCAGTTTGGTGCTGTCTAGCTCATAGGCAGTGGGCAACGGAAGCAAGACTATATCAGGCTGGGGTTTGAGATCACGGTTATTCATTTTGCCAGCTGGCAATTTGGGCACCATCCCAGACGAGGAGGAAGCTGTGAAGCGGATCAGCTCAGGGGACAAAGATGTGGTAGTAGTCCTACTAGTTTCGGAGACTTTGTTAGGTCTAAAGTCCTTGGATTCCCACTTGGGCGCATGTGCTTTGTAGCCACCTTCGAAGATTGAAGTGGAAAGACTCTTATCTGTTACCAAGGAGAAGGTGGTGTAAAAATCTTCATCATCAGTAGGGGGCAGGTTAGAGTCAAAGGTTTCCCCTGAGCCATACCCAGATATCACCAAGCCATCATCATCACAACCATCGCTGCCTTGGTCCGACAAGCAAGGTAACCCCGCCTCAGAGGTCATGGACAGGGAATCTTTGGTGGTCTCAATAATGGTGAGGAGGGGGCGAAAGGTAGGGGGGAGTGTAATGGAAGGTGCACGAGTAGCAATAGGAGGGGTAGCTAAAGGGTCTTCTACAAGAAGAGGGATAACTAATTCACCTCCTGGGATTGAAAAGAAAAAGAAAAACAGAATTAGTATATTTGTAGAAAAACAATTCACAGCCACACTCAATGAATGCATGTATAGTTCATAGGTTACACCTCAGAAATTATAATAAAATGACTTGGATCCACATAGGGATCCTCTCTACTTCTAGGCTGATTATTGGGCTATACTTCTAGCCCATTATATGCCTCTTGCCATCAAAACCTGAAATCCTTAGATTGGGGGCTTAGATTTTTTTTTTTTTTTTTTGCAGTACGCGGGCCTCTCGCTGTTGTGGCCTCTCCCGTTGCGGAGCACAGGCTCCGGACGCGCAGGCTCAGCGGTCATGGCTAACGGGCCCAGCCGCTCCGGGGGGCTTAGATTTTTAAAGATACTCTCAAGTAATTATTTAGATAGAATTCAAATAGGCTTTTTCCAGGATCTGCTTATGGGATAATGACCTTCACCTATACTGTTGCAAATACTGACCATGAAAATTATGTGTTGTGTGTGTGTGTGTGTGTGTGTGTGTGTGTGTGTGTGTGTGTGTACGTACATGCACATATGCATGTGATTAATCTGTGAGCCATAGCATTTCCTTATTTTTTTCTTGGGTTTCTACTTATTTGCTCCCATTAGGATGAGAATGACATATTTTCCATGTCACTGAGATCAAGATTAAGGAATATAAAAGAGCTCATCTTTAGTATTTTAAGTTACTACCTTTTATTTCACATTTATCAAGTGCAGTCTTCATTTACTATATGCTAAGTAAGGGAAACTTACAGTAGGTTGAAAATGTTCATCTAACAAGCCCATCTTGATGATGCTTTTCCAGAAATTCCCCTGACTATAAAACAACAACTTGTTTTGCATTGGTCTAGTATTATATTTATATATTGCTTTTATGCTATATGTAATATATACTGAGAAGACACTAGATTTTAAGAATACCCAGGCTACATATCCATGACTTACTGGAAACTTACTTTTAGATTCAGAAATGTAGAGATAGCAAAGTAGTTTTTAAAATCAGTGATTCCTTTTTCCAATTTGGATTCCTTTTATTTCTTAGAATGGCAGATATTTATTGGTTTACCCACAGACCCTAGTTATTGCACTTATAAACATATGAGGACTAGGTCAGGAAAGGAAGTTCAGAATAGTTCACTGAATCATAGTGCCCTGCAAATTATGGTTACCACAAATATTCTGTGGTGGCTGTTACTCACCTAATTGTAGGGCCAAGCTTATTATTCATGTATGTAAGCAAGATAATCAGTCTTCAGTCTCTCCTGTGTTTCTTTACAGTGTTATTTTCAAACAGAGAAAGAATCAAGAAGTCACAGTTCATGTCTCTTCATTAAATTTATTTTAAAAATTATTCCAACTATTGTTTTTAAAAATCCTCTAGCAGGGATGGCATGATATGTCCCTGACCCAGATAGTCAGACAGTTGAGATGATAATACGATATTATGGTTGAAGTCTTCTTTCTGACCTGCTGCATCTGAACTGCCCAGGTTTCAGGTGTGCTAAGAAAAAGCCTCCTGAAAAGAAAGCTACCGCACACCTTCAGAGCACCAGAGAAGAACTGCTTGCACCACATCAGAAGCTTTTATTCTCTGCAGAAAGAAACTGAGTTGGGGAGCGTGGCAATGATGTACGTAATGCGTATCTTAAGGAAGGGGAAGGGACAAGAGAGCACAGTACAGTCATCCCTGGCCTACCTGATGATGTTAGCACATGTGGGGAAATAAAACAAGAATCTTTCTGAGAATCTCAAGATGATATTTTAGTCTGTGCTTTAAGCCCCAAGCTTCTTTTCTAGTGCTCAGAGTTTGAAACTATTGAGCAAACCGATTTTTGCAGATTTGACAAAGCTTCAGACTTGCTTTCCTGGACAAGCATGCCTATTGTTTTTACGTTGTGAAGATATGTAATTCATAGATCTTGCAACTTAGTTAATGCATAATTTACATACTTTTGCTAATTTTTATAAATGGGATTTGGAACACAGGTCCCTAAAGGTAAGCCAGTCCTAAAACTAACCCTGAGTTACCTTTTCTTCTTATTCTTCTGGTAGGGAGGCCCTGAGTGTTATATTTAAGATGATATGTGGAAGAAGGCAGTGTCTGAGTAAGAAAAGAGCAGTGAGGAGAGAGGAGTGAAGCCTCATGCAGTCTGTTAAAGTTCCCTAGGGATCGCTCAGGGATGATTTTACTTTCCTTTAGAGAACAAGACAGGGTTTTTGTACCCATCTCACCTAGAATGGGTGTTCTTTTCTGGAACAAATACCGAGAGTCATTTGCTTTTTAGGGCAAGGATAAAAATCAACCCATTGTTTATTAAGTGGAGAGTAAACTTGGATAAAGGACAAGGAATGACGGATTTGTTGGGAGGCAAAGTCCTGGAACAAATAATTAAATATAAAGGCAAATTGTTAAGTAGGATGATAGTGCCCCTTTAAGTGAGATTAATATCACTGTCTTCATGATTACAGAGTGGCATTCACTTGCAATTTTAGTGTACCATCTGTGACACCCAACTGGAGTCTTACATTTGCCTTTTTTTTTTACCCCCTTGTCTTTTCAACCCCAGCTAAAGCTTCCACTGTGTCTTTGTTGTTAAAAATCTACAAAATCTACAAACTACTCATTCTGCAGTTGAATCACTTCCACTTTCCTTTGCTATTCACTTCTCATTCAACACCCTAATGTGAGTATCTCTCTTGGAGCAGAAAAAAAAAAAAGTGAAAATCATCCTTTTGATAAGGGGATGAAAAGAGGGTCTTGAAGCTCACTAATTTACAAAGAGCTTCTAAAAGGTTGGTGATCCTTTAAGTGAAATGATAAGAGCTTATTTCCAAACTAAAATGATGGGTATGCTGTTGCAAAGTTTAAATAACAGAATCTGTTAAAACTGCTAATCTTCAATTTCTTTGTCATTTTGTTATTAATCCTAGTAGCAGTGATAAAAATGATAAATGATGCCCCTGTCAGGGACATTTGAGCCCAAATCCTGGTAGTGTTTAATCAATGAAATCATAGGAACTTTCATAGCTCCCCTCTCCTGGCATCTCAAGGAATTGGAAAAATGTCTTTAATTTAAAAGGGAGTCCACTGGGATGTAGGAGTTGGTATTACAAAGGGGAATAAAAGTGAAAGTAGGGGGAAATTTTGGGGTAACTATAAACGTGGAAGATGCCTGGGACAAGTATGTGAGTTGGGGTGTATAGTCCATTTTAATATCAAATTCCATATTTAAGATTTAAGATGATTCTAGTGTCCTAGGAGGTCCAAGGGCACACATCATTTGAGATAAGGAGGTGAAGGATGTGTTTCTCCCATCATTAGATCCTTACTAGAAATGACTTAGATTGCAGAAGGCTATTTAAGATTTCATGTTTATTTGTATTAATCTAAAGTGAGTTTCCTCAGAAATGTTGGAGCAGCTGATAATTTTTTTTTTCACTGCCCGAAGACCGTGAAATCAGTGATCTACCAGATGTCTATGCTTATGAAAGTATTCATAGAAGCAACAAGCTTGAAGTCATAAGGGGTTGCAGGCAGAGTAATACAAAACCTCTAATCCATCACAACTCTAATTTCCTATTCCATCCCCAGAATTTTTCTTTGGTTTGGAATAAGAACGATCCATATTCCTTAAAGTTAGCATTTTAAATCAGGAATATATACCCTTTTTTGACAGGGTTGTGTTTTTCTTTAAACCAGAGAGATCACTAGGGATATAAAAGGTCTATTTTAGCCCTGAAGGATGCCCTGCCTTTTTGTTTTATGAGTGTATTTATAGATATATAATTCATGTGTCTAGGGCTGATATTCAGCAAAAGGGGCTCTCTGCCATCGAAAAAGACAGTATATTAAAAATTTAGTAGAACTCTTCTGAACTGTGAGAATGCTGTAGGTGATGGTGGTGTAGCGGGTCATCTGAAAAAGCAAGAAAAGCAGCACAAAGTTTCAGTATGGCTCCAACCTTTGCCTCTCTGGAGATATCTGAGTGGAAGAAGTCACAAAAATACGAAAAACAATGACACTGAAGAGTGAGACTCTGGGAGAGGACACCATGCTCCAATTCCTTGAATTTCTTTTATCTATATTTAGGTTCTTTACCTCATCTCTTATTTGCATTTTTCTCATTCTCTGCTGGGAAACTAACATACAATGGGGAGAAATCATCTTTTTCCCCACAAAATTAGTTATTGAATGATATTCATTTAGTTATTTGGTGCCACAGAAGTGTGTACTTGCAACACATCAATATCTGGAAGCTTGGAACCATGAAATTGTTCTGCATCCAGCCTCAGAAAAAATAGTCACAGACAGGCATGGCAAGTCCCTGGGGAGAAGAGAGCAGAAAAACTCAAGTATCTCAAAGGGGCTTAACTTTTTAATGAGCATTTTAATGAGATGAGAATCTCCAGGTAGGGCATTTTCCCCTAGTTTATCTGAAATGGGTTTGAGTCTGAAAGGCTACAGATTCTATTTTTTCAATATACACCCAGGTAAGATGAGCTATAGCCCCTTGATACATTGTAAAAGAAGGAATGTCTAGTGGAGTTTTTCATCTGCCTATTGGTTAAAAGCTTTGCCTCTGAAGTCACTCAGACGCAGGTTAGCATCACAGTTCTGTGGCTTACTAGCCATGAGTTGGTCAAATTTATTAAAATCTCTGTACAATGGGAATAATAACACAGCCTATCTCAAGCCACCAATGTGAATAATAATAATGCATGTTAATGTTAACTATAATGCATGTTAAGTATTTAGCACAGAAACTGCTACTCCAAAATTCTAGTTTCTAGTATCATTTCTACTAATATTTTGGGCCTATAAACACTGAAATCATTGATGACTTTTTTTCTGACCTTTTTTTGTGTAGTAGTCGTATGCTGAGGTATAAGTATAATAATATAGGATCTAGATTATTAAGGCTATTTTAAATGCAGAGTTTGAAGAATGATTTATAATAAGCCCAAGAGCTTGCATTTAAAATAA